CAGCAACAGCCTGTCGTTGCCAGTCGTCTATCCTTCGCTGCAGCCGCCCCAACTGACGCATCATCAGCACCCCGCCAGCCCGGCCGATCTTGACTTGGCCGAATCTTCACCGCCGCCGCCGCCGCCGCCGCCACCGCCGCCGTCGCTGGCCGGCGAGAACGGACAGGATCTATCGGCCTCTGCCGGCCTGAGCCACTCGGCCGGCCTCCGCAACGCCGTCACGTCGAGCGCATTTGCGGGACTCGAGCTCAAAATGAACGCTCGCACTCTCGCCGACGAGCTCGAGTCGAGTCATTCGTCTCGAAGGAGTCAGACATCGGCACTCCACTTTCTCACGATGCCAAACCTGCTGACACCTCCGCCAGCGCCGCCGCCACCACCACCTCCACCACCGCCAGCGCCACCTCCGGCGCCACTTCAAACGCCAACGTCAAAGCTGCCGCTAGGACCGACCTGTCGCCAACTAACAACTGGGCCTCAGATCACCGCGGGGCCAGGCGGAGCGCCAACATTTCGACCTCCGTTCTCGGTGCCCGTGGACGGTCAAGCCATCAGCGTCACTGTGACAACAGCGGCTACCAAACGGAAACGCGGTCGGCCAGTCTACATATCCCCGGAATTGGATTCTGTAAGCATGCAATAAGATAGCTTCTTCCTTTTGTCGGATTTCGATTTAACTTCTGAGATAGAAATATTCTTTTGTAAAGAGGTTCGAGATTACCAGATTACAGATCATATATTGAATGGTGGGTTAACTTTCGTTTCGACTGTAATTCGTGGGTCGATCTCAACAAAAGACTTTCATTTCTAGTGAAAATGTGTGAAGAAGAGCGGAAAGCTGGATCCTTAAATGTTCACATAAACTCTAATTTCGAACAATGAAACATCTCCCATTTTAAATTCTTCTATTTCGAGTGGAAGTATATGATAGTTAGTTGCCTCCAACATGTGCAACTACATCAAGCATCGTTTCTTTGCAACTTCATTTTGCATTTGCATTTTTATCATGTCCGAGGGAACGTAAAGCGCGTCGTGCTCATTCAGTGTCAGCTCAAAATTAAAGCAGGCAGCAGAGAAAATTTGCTCAGACTGGCGCCCCTTCCAATGGATATCCAGCACCAACCCACATTTGGTCAAGAGGCTTTTGTGTATCTGAGTTCTTAGACTTCTGCCAAGTAATGGTACAGTGGCCGACCGTTCCAGAGAAAGAGAGCAAAGGACATGAATGAAAGAAAATGAATTTATACGAAAAGAGGCCGGGTGTAAAAGAATATTTTGACATAAAATTGTTGAGTTGACTTTAATTTCGTGTGAAAGTCTGTCGAATGATGTAATTATTGGGTCGATCTTGGGTCGGCCAGTCTAAATATCCCCGGAATTGGATTCTGTAAGCATGCAATAAGATAGCTTCTTCCTTTTGTCGGATTTCGATTTAACTTCTGAGATAGAAATATCCTTTTGAAAAGAGGTTCGAGATTACCATAATACAAATCATATATTAAATGGTGGGTTAACTTTCGTTTCGACTGTAATTCGTGGGTCGATCTCAACAAAAGACGACGCCTTACTCGCGTGGTTGTGCTGACGTTTGAGTGTACAGCCACGTTCAGGTCAACGCAAGCGACGAGGCATGCTGGCTGGTTTTGGGTGAAAAAGAGCCGAGCTTTTGGCAGAGCCGGAAGTGGTGCTTGCCAAAGCGTCGATTCGACACTGAACTTTCCGGTCGTCAAGGCCCATGGAGATGTCGTCAAGTGACTTGCTTGATCGACAAACCCACAAGAAACATGTGCCTTGGAGGAGGTCTTTCTGATTTGCCGTGAATGACTCGTCTGGCCGTCGGCTCGGCTCAACCCGGCCTCACGAAGCAGATTGTGGAAGGTGGGCGCAATTGTTGGCACGGCGGTCGTTTGCGGTTGAGACGACGTTTGTCCGATGGCGTGGCGGACAAACGCTGACCTCGTGTTGAGCCGAGTCGAGCCGAAGGAGAGTGTCTCGTGGACAGCGTCAACCAGAGCTTGGCGGTACCATCAAATGAGTGCAGGTGAACGTGAGTCGGTCGTTGTCTTCTGGTCAGGCCGGCACGGGAATCTCTTCAACCGGGACCGATTGACTCGAGGAGAACAGAGCCAACCGCAAAAGGGTCTTGCAGAAGGTAGCCTGATCGAGATCCGCCTCCTCGTCGTCGATTCACTCTGTCCTGACAAGACGTCCTGCAACCGCTTGCCTCGAAAAACGAGTCTACAAATCGAGCCAATAGATTGACCAAAGAGAACCAGTTCTTTTTCGATATCCACTTTTGCTTCAGACCAGACGAGAGCAGGTCCACGCAATGTCTGCACACCAAAAACAGACAGACATCATGAACCGTCGTGACACGTGACTACAGACCGTGTATGAGATGGAATACATGCTCCCTTCGACACTCCGCCCAACACGCATGCAAGCGAGACCAACAGCAACCGGCCAACACAATCACGACCACAAATTGTGCTCTTTAAGGTTGACAGGAGGACAGCCGGCGTCCGGTCTTGGCGGTTTCGACCATACACTTCTCTGCCTCGGATTCGCAGACTCGAAAAAGCGCAGCGCTGAAATTGGTAGTTCTAACAAGCCGACAACCTTGGCTCGGAGCCAAGTGAGACAGACTCAACGAAACGCTTCAGTTGACGTTTCTATACCTTCGGACAGTTCCAGTCGCAGCCAAGCATTCGAGGCGACCGGTGGGGAGTTCGCCAACTTGACGCGACTGATTGTTAAGCTGACTTCTGCTGCGAGTGAAAGTGAGCCAAATGAAGAAATGTGGAGGTGAATGGCGCGGTCGAGATTACGCAATCGGAGTAATTGGTACAATCAAAAGGGTGCTGATGCTCATTAGACGCTTATA